AGTCACACCCTTTGGGACCAAAAATAAAAAGTGTGATTATAATAAAAAGTTACTATACAGGGGGATTTTTATTTGTTATTACTAAGCGTTAGTTCTGAAGGGTGTGATTATAAAAACACTGTGATTATAATGAGGTTTTTTTATATTGCATTAATAGGTATTGGTTCTTATAAAATGTGTACTTATAATGAGGGATTTATATGATGTGATTGTACAGGAAGTGACTATAGAGGGGGACAGCTGTACTAAAAATTACAATTATATAAAATTATGTTATTTTATTAGAAATTAAAAACTATAATAATAAAGCATATTTAATTTTTTTTAATAAATTAAGTGACAAATATTAACTATTATTATCTAAAAAGAATTATACATAAAAACTCTACTTCGTAAAATAACTTGATATTGAAAATCATATATGATATGATCTAAAGCAATTTTTGAAAGTAATAGTAAATGTTATTTTCTAAAGAAATATGAAAGTTTACTTTTAAATTCATGTTTAAATCATATGATTTACTATAACTTATAACCTAATTTTAATAGCAAATAATTTATATAATCTCAAAACCACAATATATAACAAATTATTAGTATCAATTATTATTGTAATACTTACTTAATAATGGTAATTAAGCTAATTATATTTTACTAGTTTATTTATTATGTAATTAAATATTTTTATACAATTTACATAAAATCATTGTTTTGATATGAACTTAACTGATTAAAAAAAACAAAATAAACATTTATTATTTTTTTAATAATAGAAGCTATCTCTAATATGTAAAATGGTTTTTTTATTAACAATAGAAGCTATTTCTGACTTTTATTATTAAAAAATAATGGATTTTTTTTTAACAATAATATTGTTTAACTTTTAGGATAGATTAAATTATTAAAAAAGTAAGTTTTTTGTTTTTTAACAATAAATCTTAATTACCTCTGACTTTTGAAATAAATTATACTATTAAAAAAATAAGTTTTTTATTTTTTAATAATAAATGAAAGCTTGTTAATAGAAAAGAAGGAAATCTAAAAAAAAAAAATTTTTACTTTATATGATTTTTTTTTTAGTAAAATAAGTTCAGATTAACATTAACTCATAAAAACTTTTTTTTTTAGATTTTCTTCCTTTCTATTGACAAGCTCCCAAATGTATTTTCAATCTATTAGAATGGATTATTATTATTTAAAAATAATAAATTTATTTATTTAATAATAAATGCTACCTCACTCTCAAGACAAATTATATTATTAAAAAAAATAGATAAATCATCCTTCGAATTGTCTCGAATAGCCACTTCGGTTATCACAAATTGTCACTTCAGATGTTTAATTTTACTATTTTATGCTTCAAAAAACCATTTCAAATGATCAAAATGACAAATATAGGAAATCTTAGTAATTAGTACGATTCGTGAATTCCTGAAGTAGTCATTTGGGATGATAAGTGGTCATTTGGAATATCATAAATATCATAAATGAGCATTTGGGGTATTATCCGAAGTGAGCATTTGGGATAAGTTTTGAAGTGATCATTTGGGATAAACGCGCATTTGGGGCAAATGCATGTCCGAAACGATCTTCGCATTTTGGATATCCTAAATGCATTCCGATTTGGAATATCCGAAATGCTCATTTCGGACATCAACGCATTGGACTATAATTTATTATTTTCGAATATCAAATATTCGAAAATCATAACGATTAACTTTCTTTTATTTCTCATTTTTAATGAAAATAAAAAAGATTAACCGTTCGCAAGGCTTATTAAATATAAAAATAGATAAAACACTTTCTATATATTAGTACAAATTACTACAAGACCGAAAGAAGATAACAAAAGATAGAAATAGTTAATTTTAATATGATAAGTGGGATTCGAATAAGTTAAATTATAATTTACATCCAAAAGTTTATTCAGTAAAATAAATTTTTTTTTGTACACAACTCTAACTGAATAATGAACTTATTTCTAAGATTCTTATTTAGTTATTCCAATTTTGCACACCATTTACAAAATAAGTAAGGCTGTCACATAATATTCATTGTGTTTTGTCATTTTAACCATGATATGTAATTTGAATTCTTGGAGTTTCAACTTCCGTGCGATCCACATAATTGCATAAAAGGTTAGTAATAGTTTTGAGATCAAATGCTTCACCGCAGCAGCATTATCATTATCATTTTCTGCTTCAATAGTAAATTACCCCACGTTTTATCAACCAAAATTACTACGAAATTCATATGATGACAATCAATTGTATAGATCCTTATTGTCACGTGATGCAAACCGAAAATAATCAAACTCAGAAAATTTACTTTTTTACCCAATCAAAATCTACGCAATAGGATGAATTTTACTCCCGATATAGAGGTCCCGCAAAAACAAGGTCACTTAATGATTGACGAAACCTCATGAAAATTTTTTTTTAATTCCCAAATTCAAACTTTTAAAAAGTTTGTCTTTTTTTTATATTATAGGTTTCAATAAATTGATGACTTTTTAGTAATTCATACTAATTATTTAACAGTAAAATTAATTAATATAGTAAAATAAAGCTTAATCGGGGTTAATAATTTTAAAATTAATCTATACGCGTGCGTGTTTAAATCCTCCCCTTTTTTTATTACAAGAATTCAATTCAAAATTCTGATTTTAAAACTATATAAACAACACGAAAATTTCGTGGAGAATTCACAAAAAAAAAAAAATAATTATATATATATATTTAAGTAAAATATTATATAAAGATATTCCTTTATTTAACGAAAAAGAAACCAGCTTAATTGTTTCGCAAGAAATTTTTTTTATTAAACAAAATGAAGTCTTTATTATTTATTTCCCTCCCTCTGTTCCTTGCTGGCTTAGGAACAGCTAGTAAACATGCTACAAAATCTTACACTGGTGATCTACCTACCTATACAGCAATTCCCCAATCCAAAGGACTTCCACCCGCCCATGGTTTTACTAAAGGAATTCCACCAATCCAAGAATTATCCAAAGGACTTCCACCCTCACCAGTCCATGAATTAACCAAAGGGCTTCCACCAAAAGACGATGTATCAACTGCCAAAGGCGCAGCTCCACCCGTTCCAACAAACCCCATCGACGCGATAGGATCATTAACACCAGAATGTCAAGCTGCTTTATTTAGCATCGTAGCAAACCCAGAATTCTTTAAATGCGTACCAATTGCGGCGCTTTTACCATTGGTACCGATTCTAACCGATCCAACCGCCCTTCCAACATTGTTAAAAGATCCAGCTAAAAATCTACCTCCATTACTTGGACCAGTATTTGACGGTATTTGTGCTGCACCTAAATGTTCTGACGAAGGTGTTGCCACATCTCTTAAAGCCTTAGATGACGGCTGTCAGGCTGATGAGAAGAATTTACTTATAGAAATCGCAACTGGTGTCGTCACATTCTATTCCCCACTTAGAGATACTATCTGCTTCAAAGACAACAAAA